AACACAATTCTCAGTCCTACAATCTACAGTTCGATTTTCCAGAAAAAGAGCAGTTAACAAGAACACACCTGGAAACTCAAGTAGAACTGTAGACGCGATGCAAAGAAACCGGTGAGGGACGCGAAAAGGGGCCAAAAATGACCTGGGAGGCTCGCCGGAAAGTTGATCGGAAAGTCAACGGAAAACCCGCCGGAAAGTGACCGACGGCGGCGGCGGGAGGCCGGCGGGTGGCGGCGGGGGCGGGACTAAGCGGCGGCCGACGGTCGCCAAAGAGGAGAGAGGGCAGAGGATTTTAGAGGAAGAGAGGGAAATTTTGGAAAAAATGAGAGGAGAGAGAGAGAAATGACCGGGGGTTTGCTTAAATAGCAAAAATCCCCGGTCGGGTACTTCTAAGACTACGACCGGGGATTTTGGAAAACGCCGCGTTTCGTGTGCAAGGAAATCCCCGGCCTTGAGCCAAAAATACCTTGTCGGGTATTTTTGGGTCAAGGTCGGGGGTTTCTGAAACGCCGCGTTCCAAGGTCGGGGATTTGCCCTTTGGGCGCCCCCGGAAGGCAGAAGGGGTCCTGATCTTGGCCCATAAGTACCCGGTCGGGTATTTTGGGCCACGACCGGGTATTTCCCCCTTCGGCAAAAAAACACATTCTCTCAAATTTCCAACCTCCCCTGCACGAAAACACCAAACCGAGGCAAAACAACCGACCAAACTTCAACACAGACATGCAACTGACTCAAAATGACACAAAAACACAGAAAGAAAGGGAAAAAGAAATGCAAACCTTGGTGGGGTTGCCTCCCCACAAGCGCTTCTTTACCGTCTTTTAGCTGGACGCCCATGGTGGATACTCAGAGGGGTGCAAGAACAGGTGCCTCCAAGAGCGTATCCACATCGCTCTTGAGGTACAGCTTCAGATTGTGGCCATGCACCCGACGGGTGCGACCACCAGCATTGGTCAACTCGACCTGGCCATCCGGCAAGATGCAGGCGAGTGACTACTCGGATGGCCAGGGTGGTCGTGGTGCATGAGGTGGTATCAGCTCATAGTGGTCTCCACCTTTCTTTCGAGCAGGCTTAGCCACCTGCGGCTTCGGCCGCCACTCCTCTTTGAGCTTTTTATTTGGAGGTGAGATTGAAGGGAGTGGCGGCGAAGGCGTGAGAGGGGAGTCCTGCAAAACGAGAGGCACAAAGGGGTACACGACAGGCTCGTGTACCTGGTGAGAAATAGCATGCATGGGTGCGACAGCAGGCATATCACAATGATCTAATTCAGCCACAGAAAAAGTAGCATGTTCATTCCCAGCACGCAAGATCAGTTTACCACTATGCACATCAATAAGTGCATTGGCGGTGGCAAGAAATGGTCTACCTAGAATCAAAGGCACATCCACATCCTGATTTATATTCAGAATAACAAAATCAATAGGATATTTGAATGCGCCTACTTTAACAAGCAGATCTTTTATGATACTCCTAGGATGCACAATAGAGCGATCAGCTAACTAAATGCTCATCCTAGTAGGGCTAAGTTCACCTAGGTCTAGCATTTTAAACAAATTGTACGACATGACATTTATGCTAGCGCCTAGGTCCGCCAAGGACTTCCCTACATGCATTTTGCCAATATCAAGAGGGATAGTGAAACTCCCTGGGTCTTTGCACTTTTCGGGAAACTTGTTCTACAGGATAGCAGAACACTCCTCGCTCAGCATCACTGTCAAAAGATCCCCAAGTTTCTTCTTGTTGCTGAGGAGATCCTTCATGAACTTGGTATACTTAGGCATCTTCGACAGTGCCTCCATGAAAGGTATGTTGACGTTGAGCTGCTTCAACATTGCCATGAACTTGGCAAACTCACTCTCCAGCTTATCTTTATGTAGTCGATTGGGCAAGGGGAGCTGGGGTACATGCTCTTTAACCACTAGCTGTGGCTTGGGAGCAGGGGCTTCCTTATCCACCCTCACTTCTGCATCGTCGGCTGGAAGTGCTGAAGCAGGCAGTGGCTCTTCCTCCCTAGCCTGGGCAGGTACCGCCGATGTGGACTTGCCACTCCTGGTGGTGATGGCATTCAGCTGCTGGTGCGGCTCCCGTGGATTGTGGATGGTAGTGGCAGGTAGAGTTCCCGGGGCCCGGGTATTGTTCTGACGAGCTATTCCTCCAAGCTGATGCTGGAGGTCCTGCAGTAAAGCACCTTGGTTCCTCTGACCTGCCTCCAGCGAGGCGATGCTTTGGTCTATCCTGGTAAAATTCGCCTGGCTGGTAGTCATGAATGCCGCTAAAATGTTTTTCAGCTCCGTCATCTGATTATCTGGAGCCAGAGCTGCTGCTGGCTCGGCATACTGACGCTGAGGCTGCTGAAACGGTTGCCCCTTCCTAGGCTGGTAAGGCTGCTGCTGTGGGACTGGCCCCTGTCTAGCCTGGAAAAGCTGCCTCTGCTGAAAACCACCTGCTGGTGCTGGGAAACCAAGTGGTTTAGTGGTGTTGCTATTCCAAGCGAAGTTGGGATGCTGGCGCCACCCCTCATTGTATGTATTGTTGTATGGGTCAAGGCGCCGAGCATTGGCGATGAAGTCCAACTGCTCTTGGGGGGTAGAAGACTCACGCATAGCTTGGCAGTCATCTACCAGATGATTCGAGCTCTCACACCATTGACATTGAGCTACAGGAGGTCCGCCCAGACCCCTGCCCGGAATAAGACTGTTGGGCTGCTTCAATGTCTGCACTAACTCAGCCACCTGCTGCTCGAGCCCGGACTTGGCCTCCATGGCATGCACACCCCGATCCCGGGAATTCCTGCCTCTGGTGCTCTGCCCCCAGGAATGATCTCTGGTAGCTAAGGTACTGATCATCTGGTTCAGTTCGGGTGGAGTCTTAGTAAGAATGTCCCCTCATGGGCATAGAGACTCAATCACCCTCTGGCTTTCCGGAGAAAGAGCACTGTAGAAGTTCCCCACGGTGAATGCATCACTGAAGTCGTGATGGGGACACTGCCAGAAAAATCCCGAGTACCGCTCCCATGCATCACGAAGTGACTCGTCTGGCTCTTGGCGGAAGTGAGTGATCTCCCGCTGGATCTCTGTGGTCTTCGACGCTGGATAATACATGTGCACGAACTTGTCGGCCAGATCGTCCCAAGAAGTGATGGACAATGGGGACTGGGTCTCCAACCACCTCTTAGCATGCCCCGCCAGAGAATGGGGGAAGAGGTGAAGGCGGATTGCGTCATCAAAGACACTGTTTAGCTTGAACCCGTTCGTCGGCTGCAGGAAACGGGAAAGATGCACCCTTGCCTCCTCATCCTTCAAGCCATGACACTGGATAGAGGATGTAATGAGTTGAATCCAGCATGGCTTGATCTCGAAGTTGTTCGCTGAAATGGGCGGGTAGAGGATGACAACGCGGATATCAGCAACCCGTGGAGTGTAGTAGTACTCCAAGGTGGGACCCGGCGGAGGTGGTGGTTGATGCTGAACCCCATCTACCTGGGGTATGGGGTTGTTCCCCAAGATCTTATTCACCGGGGGAACCAGGAGAGGTATCCCCTGGGGCGGGATATGTTCTCCTTCCATCTCGTACTCGTCCTCGGAATCGCTGCTCAAATGGCTGTCTATGCGCTCCTCCGTAGCCATTCTAGCTCGTTGTTGTCTCCTAAGTTGGCGACAAGTGCGTTCAAGCTCCGGATCCAACGACAGTAAACCTCCTGACTGGATACGGGTCATGCACTACCTGCACACAGTCAATCAGCAAACCCGTGAAGGCACAAGTGTGACAAAGCAAACAATGCTAAAAAGAAAAGCTGAACTAACAGAATTCATGTTTCTTCAACAACCTAGCCGTCCCCGGCAACGGCGCCAGAAACTTAACTCGCTCCTACCGTCACTCTAGAAAATGGCCAAGTGTAACCACCTCCTAAAGAGTAGTATAGCGGGTTTGGGTTTTAATGTCAACCCGGGTCCTAAATGTGATGACTACTTCGTGAGTTCTTATTATTTAGCAGTCAAACTTTAGTGAAGGTCCAAACAAGCAAATTAGCAAAGCAAGTAAAAAGGCTGTTTTCAAGTCGAGAGAGGTCACCCGGATATGGTTCCCCCTAGACTGTAGTTAAGCCGGATTGCTATTTACCAAGTTCAGGTTCAATGATAGTTATATTGCAGGAGATTCTTAAACAGTCTCAAGTCTCGACTAAAGGTCTCCAGACCCTCTCAATCTGAATCTCCAGCGGCCGAAAAACCTCCACCGCAGTAAACAGATTGAGGCCCTAACGAACAAAACCTCCACTACCGAAGTAAATTCGGTACAGAATAGTGAATTGGCTCCTCGAATAAAGTCGCCAACTCCCTACCTTCAATCAAGGGTGCTCTATCAACCTAGGAAGATATTCTCTTTCTAGGTTAAAGCTGAAACAACAGGAATTTGATCAAGATTCATGCCATTCAACAAATCAAACCTCAATTGAACATAATCATACCACTGAATTTGTACTTGGGTACATACAATCAGACCTAACAAACAAATCTAGGGTTCTTCATACCCAGGTGAATAAGAAAGCTACTCCATAGAGAGAGATGGAAAATCTAGCTCAGATGCGGAAACCATACTGTGAAGGACGAGAATCTGCTTCTGGCACTCAATCAGCTGTTCTCCAAGCTCTAGCCGCGCTCCAATGGTGATGGAGATCGATCTAAGACACTTGCAGAATCAGGTTCGTCACTTTCTCTCTCTAGGTATCACTTTTTCTCTCTAAAACTCGGGGCCCCTCACTTTTGCCTCTCTTTTCCCTTAAGAAGCTGTCATGTCGCGATCCCCGGCCTGAATACCCGATCCGGTATTTTGGGTGGCGACCGGGCATCTTCAAAACGCACCGTCGGGTAACAGGGGAAAATCCCCGGTCAAGTCCAAGAATCCCCGACCGGGGATTTCTGCTCACTGCCCGGGCCCCCTTCTGCTTCTCAGAGACGTCCGAAGCGTCAAATCCCCGGTCTGGTCCAATTAATAACCGGCCCGGTATTTCTGCTCATGGCGGGGTATTTTGCTCCCCCAGCACACTTCACCCCAACGTGCTCCTTTCGACCCGAAACTCGTTTCTTCGCCTCGATGCCAACGCTAAACCCTGAAATATGACAGAAACGCACAACCTAGCGTGAAATTGGCTTAAAACACGAGAATCAACATCTCAAATGGCTTAAGAATAGGGGTAAAAACATGTGTAATCAATGGTCTATCATCAGTCTTGTGCTAGAAGGCAGCTTACTTCGTAGCAACTTCGAGCCTTTTGTTTGAAGCCTTCCAGATATCCAATATTTCATCCCATACCTTGACTTTGTAGACAAACTTACCTACTTTCTTGTGGTAAAGGCCCCTGGACTCGAATATCATCCATGCTTTTCGAATTGAGCTCCAAAGTAGGCTTCACAAACACTTTCCCAGACTGAGCCATTTTCGGCAAGTTTTCATGTTTTGGCATAGCCTTTCGATCGGGTTCAAAAATGGTCTTATGGACTTCCTATCGAGCTCCCAAGCACTTCAATGTGTAGAGGGATCCAACTTCAAATCAAGCCATTAATCTCCAATTTCCATCGAGCCAATTGTAAGCTATGAATCTCCAAAGTAGGCACCATGAAATTGTTTTTACACTGAAACAACATATTAGGTCGACCTAAACCTAACTGAGGCCGACCAAAAAGTGCAAGTTACGGTGACATGCATGTCACCATAGGCGCACCCATTAATTTATTTCATACGTAGTCACTTAAATTCGTTCAACAGTTCAAGTTTGGGCACTCTCCGTTGGTCTCCGTTAACTTTAGCTGATGTGGCGGTCAACTTTGAGAGTTGATCGCTAAATAGTTGACGTGGCAATTAAAAAATAATAAATAAAAAAATTAAAAATTTATAATTTCCACCTCACTTTAACAAAATATTAAAATAAATAAAACAAAAAAATGTAATCTTTTATTACTCGGCTACACATTATCAACAACTAAAGGAAAAAAAACAACCAGGGAAGATTTCATATCCCACCAGACGTGATTTCTCATGTTCTTGTTTCATTCAGAATCAGATGATGAAGATGGTTAGGAAGTTGGTGGAGGTAGCAAGGGAGCTCCCAGTCCTCCCACTTGCGCGAATGCCCGGGCGGCGGTGGATTCTTCTTCGTTTCTGTCGTCCGCGAGCCGCTTCTCAGATCTGGTACCCCAAATCTCTGGCGCTCGTACCCAGTCGTGCGCTTTGTACAACAAGCTGAGGTGGCGAAGATCGATGCGGAGACGAAGATCATTGCGATTCAGCGGCAGCGGAAGGTCAATTTCTAATTTCAATCTAGATTTCTTGATTTTCATCTAGAAATCGATTGGTTGATGAATCTAGGTACCCTCTTTTGAATGACTATTGATTGATTAATGATTATGGGTGAAAGTTGATCGATTGAAGATCTGTGTGTTATTTTCCAGGTACAAGAGGAGAATTGGGATTTGTACAACAAGCAGAGGAGCGGAGGGAGTACTGTACGGGAGAGAGAAGGAGGCGAAGTCCTAGATGGTGACAGCGAAGGAGGCGTTCTTCGCGCGGCAGCTGGCCTCCGACGCGGAGTTGTACCGGAAGCAGAAAGAGGCGGAAGGGATGATGGCGCTAGCCAAGGCGCAGCGGTTTTATGTGAAGACTCTGCAGGATGTGCTGAGAGGGGACTACTATGGTGCATTGAGAGATTACCTGATGATCAACGGCGGCATGTTTCAGCAGATGGCTAAGATCAATGCGGATGTCGTTCGTGGACTGCAACCGAAGCTAAGCATCTGGACGGTGGGGATGTTGCTACCGGCGGCGGAACGGGGATGAGCTTGTTGGATGGGCGTATGTTACGGTTATAAGACTAACTCCAACCCTTGCTTGCAAATTTGGAGATTGGAGTGTTGGGGTGGATAGGTAGCAGCTGAAAGGGGGAAAGGGGGCAAATATAGCAGCTCAAAAGGGGACCACGCGTGCAGGCGAGGCCCAACCGCGGGAGGCGCGCCTGGGCCGCACGCGCGCGGGAGGAAGGGCTTCCTCCCGCGCGCGTGCGGCCCTGGCGCGCCTCCCGCGGTTGGGCCTCGCCTGCACGCGTGGCCCCCCTCTGCTGTGTGCTTTTTTTTTCAATTTTCAGTTTGTTTGGGTGGTATTTGTGTGGGTGTGTTTGCGTTTTAGTTTGAAATGGGTAATGTAGTGACAATAAAACGGTCACATTGCAACGGACAAATTTTAACGGCCATAAAACGGTCATATTTTTTTTTCTATATAATGAGTAACTTCTCATATTTTTTCTGCACTCATTCTCAAATCAATCTCTCTCATTCTCATCTATTTATCATCTCTCAAAACAAAAACATGTCAAGTAAGAGAGGACCCAATTGGAAAGCTCATGAAGATGTAAACTTGTGCAAATCTTGGATATCAATATCTGAAGATGGAGCGGTTGGCATCAATCAAAAGAGCACGAGATTATGGGAAAGGGTGGAGAGGGAATTTCGAAGAAGCGATCCTACAACAATTCGTACTACGGATTCAATGGAATCCCGACTGAGACTTATCAGTAACAAGTGTAAAGTTTGGAAGGGAGCTTTGCAGAGGGCGGAGAGGAGTCAAACGAGCGGTACCAACCAAGTTGATGTGGTATTGTTTTGGAAACTTTAACTTTTGTATTTCTTATTTTTATGTATATTTACTTATCTAACTTGTGTATTAATAATTTTGATAGGAATTTGTAGCAAGACAGATATATAAGGAAGAGAATGGGGACAAAGCCTTTGAACATGAGCATTGTTGGGTCATCCTTCGAAATTGCCCAAAGTGGTATTGTGACCCTCAATTGGTTGTCGGTCCAATTCCACCTATGGGTCAAGGTTCTCAAGGTTCTCCCATAGGTATTGGTTCTCAATCCTCCCCTGTGGAAGGTCTCGACGACATACCAGACGAGGGAGCTACGCCTTTCGTGCTGTCTCGCCCTGAAGGACGCGACAAACAAAAGGCAGCAAAAAAGAAAGGTAAGGTAGTTGCAGAGTCGTCAGACATGTACACTACTCAACTGCTAGAGTTTGGTAATGATATGAGAGAGAGGCAAAAGTCGAGGATGGAGTACGAAAATAGAAAAATTAATCTTCAAGAGAGGAGACTAGAGAGGGAAGCCGAGGAATGGGCATACAAGAGGCAAGTGAGGGTGCAGGAAGCGGAACAATGGGCTCTTGAGAAGAAAGAGAGGGAGGCCGCAATACTTCAACAAAATATGAATATTCTGGAGAAGGATTTGTCAAAGATGACACCAAGAAAGAAGAAATTTTGGAGGAGTAAACAAAATGACATCTATGGGTACGATCAAGATGATCCCAACTCTAATCCAGGAGATGGCGGAGATGGAGATGCAAGTGGTGGAGGAGATGGAGATGAAAGTGGAGGTGATTACTTTCCTGTTATGGATTATGATTAGAAGAAGGTCCTATGTGTACTAATTGAGGCTTTTATTGCTTTATGTGGTGTGTTGTGTGTTGTATTTGAACTTTGAGCATTTTCATGTGTAATAAAAAAACTAGTCGTTATTGAATCTTTTGACTAACTACAAAACACACTTTATTGAAACATGAAATACAATCACACACTGAAACTTGAAATACAAACATCAAAACAAGCAATACAATTCATAATTAAACAATACTAGTTATTGCCCTGCAAATTCCAAAGTTGCTCAACCAAGTCATTTCGAAGCCCTGCAAACCAAGTCATTCCGACGATGAGCTATCTGACATACTCATGATGAATGTGTTTGTTTTAGAAATGGGAAGAAGTTTCAGTGAGTTGATGAAAAATGAAGAGTTGTAATTTATAAACACATTTGATGCACAAAACGACAAAAAAACGGTCATAAAGTAACGGCTAAAAAAAACGGTCATATTTGGATCGGTCCAAAAAAAGGTCATAAAGTAACGGCTACAAAAAATGACTAATTTTGAAGAAAAAAAAAATTATCTCGGAATTAAAAAAAAATTACATCGAAAAATTTGTTTTCAAAAGTAATAACAAACTATAAAAAAATTAAAGTGAATTACAAGAATGATATTGTAAATAAGTATGGATTATGGAAATTAAATAAAAAAAAGATGTGGGAAGCTAAATTTGGAAGCCTATAGGGTTGGAGCAAAAAGGTGTTTTGGGGAGGCAAATATGCACATTTGAGAGCTTGGGAGGCTAAATATAGCTTTTTGGGTTGGAGTTAGTCTAAGGATTAAGGGGAATAAAAATTATAGTTATAATTTTTAAGGTTTATTTATTTTTTTAATTCATTGAGACAATTAAGAGTAATTTTAAAAGATTATATTATATTATATTTTTTATTTTTTAATTGCCACGTCACCTATTTAGCGGTCAACTCTCAGAGTTGACCGCCACATCAACTAAAGTTAACGGAGACTAACGGAGAGTGACCAAACTTGAACTGTTAAACTAATTTAAGTGACTACCTATGAAATAAATTATTTTAGTAGCAAACCTAAACTTTTTAAGTAACTCCAGTGACCAAACTTGCAATTTACCCTTAAAGAACTCAGAGTCTCTGGTTGTCTTGCCCTTCTTCTACTCTATTAAGTCACATAACTAAATTTACTGGCAGACCTCGAAAATGTGTATTTATAGTTTCCCCTCTTCGTACAAAGGGTTACAAACTCTACGAAAATACATTCACCACCAACATTTCTTTCCCAAAGTGTGTATTTTGTATGAGCATCGATTTCCCTTTCAGCCTTTTCTTCTCCTGATTTTGGCTTGTGCAGACCTAATCGATTAGAAAGTCGAGGGCCATTTCTTCTCCAAGTTTTTTGTGACGCTAGTATTTGAAACAGAGCGGGACGGCTTTGCGGCGTCGCAAAAGCCTACTTGCGGCGAAAGATAGCTTTTACTAACGGAACTCCCTGGTCACTAATGAAAGTTTTTTAGTGGATATCCATAACCCAGAAGAATTTTAAAATTGGAGGGACTTGGGAGCATCGAGAAGATCATTAGTTAGATGTATGGAATTAGACAGACGGACTAAGTAACAGAATCTGCAGCCAACATATTCAAAGTTTGTTAGGGAGGGTGCAAGCTAGGAGGACTGGAGGGTTCCTCTTGCCAATCTCCACCAACAACTTAACAACACAGTTTCATTTGATCCATCAGTTTATATTATAATTAACTACCATGCCTCCTAATCGTAGTTGTGTGTTTTCTTCTCTCTGTTTCGATTTACAAGTACGTGTATCCAAATGTATCAAAGTCAACTCTCCATACGACCATACGGCTATTTTAAGGACATCAACATTAATAAATTAATTGTGATATTTCCGGTCTAATCTTCGTGACATGAGACAGAGTAAATTGCATGCAGACGGACGGAACCCACAAATTTGCGACAAGTAATTACTTCAACGGGTCTGCATGCGCTGCGTAAGCATGCACCCAATTAGTTTAATTAAATTTGGATTTCACTTTGATATGTTGACCGTGACGAAGGAGCTAGCGGATTAAAAAAGGAGCAGTTGCATGAACAAGATCTAGAAGTGATATGGCAGCCACAGCCCACAAAACTGGCAACCGGCTGGATTAATTTGTACAATCTTTTTTTTTTTTTTTTTTTTTGTTAATGGTGATAACTTTTTATTAATTAAATGAAAATCTGAATCTGGGTTAGCTCAAGCGGAGGCATAGGTGCACGTACTAATATTGGTCTCTGGTTTCCATATGGAACCTTATCCGGTGATATAGTTAATTAAAATTTTGGACTTGGATTAAACTAAAGATGTGTCATGGGACACCAAACAGGGGACAAACAAAGTTAAGATTACCTCTCTTAAGAAAAAAAAAAGAATGTATTCTATAATGACTCTAGTTTTCCCCCATAAATTTATCTAAAAAATGATGGTGTAATTTAATGATTAAGGTATAAATCATTCACAAGTTATTCTTTCTATTCGTAATAAACAAGGAGCACAATAATTAAAATGAAAATTGCGTGACATACATCAATTTAATAAAATAATAATTGATAATTATGAGTTACCAAAATATATCGAAGTACATTCAACGACCAGATCACTCTGAGTTGTTAGTGTATGGTATAGGCATTGGCGGAGCTAGGTGAGGGGATGTGGGGTCCATGGACCCCACTTGGAAAATGAATATACATTAAAAATGGTGGATTTTTAAGGTGTGGTTAGTAAATTTAGAACCATGGACCCCCTCTTCCCAAGACAATGATTTTACTATTGAGACAAACTTTGGGGTCGGTTAGCATGCTAACCCCCCTTAGGGGTTGGAAAAATGACACCCCCCTAGTATATTAAATACAACTATAATTAATACACAATAATTAATACACACATTAAATACACATTAGGAATTAAATGTACCATATTAATTAGGAATTCTCTCACTATTAAATACACATTAGGAATTAAATACACACATTAAATACACATTAGGAATTCTCTCACTATATTTGATTTTTCCTTTTTCAGCAGTCTCCGACCACCAGACTTCCTCCGACCGCCACACTTCTCTGGTGAAAATCCCATCGGCAGACTCCCTCCGACCACCTCCAATAAATATACCACTGCACTGATACGGTGTACCACTGTACTGGTAGATATACCACTGCACTGATACGTTGTACCACTGTACTGGTAGATATACCACTGTACTGGTACAAATACCATTAAAGTGGTAATTAATGTGGTGTATTTAATGCTTACTTTGTATTTAATAACAGAACATTTATTATGTTTACTTTCATTAATACTTGTCAATAATTAATGAAAAATTGACCAATTAAAAGGGGGGAGTCAAAAAACCAACCCCTTAAGGGGTTAGCATGCTAACCCGTCCCATAAACTTTGTATTTCATTTTGTTTGGACCCCACTAAATTATATCTCTGGCTACGCCAATAGGATATATTATAGACACTCTCCTAATAACTCGAGTTAATGGGATCAACTGGTTCTTGATAGGAATACCACATACTTCATGAGTATGTCAGTCACTACCATCAATGTAGTCAAAATCGCGCTTAAAAACTTAACTTTTTACTCTTCTGGGTTACCAAAAAGATTCAATGTGAAATCGTGTTTTCTATTAATTGTAATTAAAATCGCACTTTAAAAGTTGAAAGTTTACGTTTTTACGATTATAGATTAACAAAACACTTTATGTAGAATCACGTTTTTTATCGTATTGATTGCGATATATATGAGATCATTTTCAACATCAAGGGATATGACACTTTTTCGAGTCAACACACATCCCATGCACTTAAAATTTACCCCACGACCTAAGTCGGATAGGCATGCCAGAATGAGAAATGTCTGAAGATGAGAATGAATAAACATCACTCATTCGCAAGCAGCTTAAATAATTAAACCTCGATATGAATTATGATGATATTAGCACATTGTTTGACTTTCGGGTATGGAGCAGGAGCAGGAGCAGAGCAGGATCAGAAAAGAGGAATTACAACGACAACAGCACCCTACAAAATCCTACGTAGAATTTGGACGGTAAAAGTGGTTACAAACTAGGTAATTAGTGTAAATGGTCACAATTTAAGTGTTGTTATTGTTGGGGATGTGGCTCGGGCCCAATCGCGCGAGCAAAACAATCGAATGGAGGCAAGAGGATGACCGCCAATGTCAGACGTATCGAGCGGCGTCGTTTTACCTCACAGTCTGATCCCGCCCAGGCCGACGTCGTTTTGCACTGCCCAAAACCACCGCCGTTTTAAACCTCACCCAAGCCGGCGTCGTTTTGTCCTACCTAAAAGACAAGGGAGGGAGATCGTAAGCATGGCGCCGCAGTCTACGAAGGAAAGGTCATGTCGTGTGTCAGGTCCTAGGAATGATTATGGCCTAAAAGCATGGCCTAAGCCTCCTGACACACGTTGTAGTCTTATCGCATTAAATACCCACAACTGTAATGTACTATAAAAGGGGCATTTACTACGGTAGGTAGGGGATCGGTTTTTGGATTCTCTCACTAATAAACACAACTTTCTCTCTCTAGCCAATTTCCTCTGTAATCTCTACCTCTCTGTCTAAAGTTCTCACCAAAAACGGACCAACGTTACGCTTCGCTTACCCTACTTCCCCCTTTTCTCACGAGTCTCACTCCTACACTCAGTTAGGCTCAAACAATTGGCGCCCACCGTGGGGCCAGTAGGGAAGCGATGGAAAACCAACTGACGACGGAGCGCAATATCGACTCACCCAGCGAAGTAACGCCCATCAAAGCTATGACGAACCAAAGGACGCACGCGGAGGCCAGCAACTTCAACGCGGTACTCATCGAAAAAGAAGAGCCTGAGCTGACGCCCAAGGAGATGAGGCAACAGTTGGCTAAGCAAAACGAAGTCATTGCCGATATGCAAAAGAAAATGAATCAGGTTATTGCGCTCATGATGAGTAAAGAGTCCGCGCAACCCAGTCACGCGGCGCTGCCAGCGCCAGACGCGACCGCGGCAAACGTCCCTCCGCCACAACAGATCCCGGACGTCACGTCCGCGGACGAGGCACCCCA